CACCAGTCGCCTGTCCCCGCAGGGTGCCCAAGTCAGGCTTGGCACGAGGCCACACGGTCACCCCTGCAGCCTGGCCCCGCAGCCCCCAGCCTGTCACAGGGCAGAGGAGCTGGGACCGGGCCCCCTCCCATGCACACCCAGCCCCACACACCCCCTTGCACACACTAACCCAGCCCTGCACGCATGCACACCTGCACAGGGCACATGTGCCCCATTGTGCCCCGTGCCACCGGACTGGGAGCTCTCTGGGCCCTGCGCAGCACCGGATGGGCACCTAGTCTCGATAGAGAAAAAACGAGTAGCCACAAGTGTTTCTGACACCATGGAGAAGCAGAGACAGGGGACAGGGAATCCTCCAGCAGCAAGGGACCTGCAAAGCCAGGTCAGGTGGAGCATTTTCCTCCCGGGATGGGAAACAGCCCTGTCTGCTCTCCATGACTCTCCTACCCCAACCCTTCACCTCCCACATCCAGGAAGAGCCCAGGTGCCCGCAGTGCCTGCTCTCCCAGGGGATCCTGGAGAGACAGGAGAGAGATCCAGAGAGATCCTGGAGACACCCTGCTCCCAAATGGCACAGGGGATGCACCAGGGAGACGAAGGACCTTGCACCTGCCTGCTGGCCTGGTCATTGCCTAGAGCAAGGTGCCAGCCAGCCTCTGTCCCGTGACAGGTCCTCCTCCCCGGCCCTGGCACTGGGTTCAAGCCCATCCCCGCAGCTCTGGCAATGCAAACAGGGCCTTTGGCCCTCTCTGAGGGTCCCCACTCAGCACAGATGGGTTGGTGGTGCAGGAACGAACAAATATCCTTGGGATGGAGCAGAGCCTAGCAGGTCCTGCCTTGGTGGAGCTGGACATCACACAGCCCCATGCTCCTGCACAGCCCTTGCTGGGAACAAGTCATGGCAGGGCTACAGACACCAGGGCAGGGAGAGGGCATCATGCTTTGAGGGGGGGTCAGAGCTGCTCCATGGACCTACTGCCACCCTCTTGCCCCAGCACCTGTCCGTGGGTGCCTGGGGCCTGCCAGGGTCAGGATTTTTCTAGACCAGTGATGAGTCTTTGCAGCCTTTAGGACATGACTTCAGGGGTGCATCCTGCTCACATTTCCCTCTGCGAGCCCTGGACGGGAGCAGCGCTGCTGGCTACAGGACCTCCTTTGGGGACAGTTAATGCCCACCCAGCTCCAAAGGCGCAGGATGGTGCACACAGGTGGCCAAATCCACCCACTGCCCGCAGGCCCTGGGCCATGCCAGGGCTGGAGAGTCACTACAGGGTGACAGAGATCCCATGCACATCGGTCAAGCCCAGATCTGCCACAGAGACCAGTGGGGTCTTACTCCCAGTCACTTCGGGTCACCAAAGACCCCCACCATGCCACTGGCCCCCACTCTCCCTGCCACAGCCACCTGCAAAGATTTTGAGACTGGAGGGAGCCTGAAGACAGGGAGGGATCTCCAGCTTGAGGAACTAAGGCAGCCTGAAGCCAACTAAGATATTTGTTCACTCTGAAACCTACTGGTAGCGATTAAAGCTGCAGCACCCTTCTTCCAGCACACAGCAGTGAAGAAGGGCGCTGCCAGGGCACCACCCTCCCCAGTGCCAAGTGCAGTTCAGGGGCTTCCCCGCTTGCTTGCTACTGGAAATGGGGGGCTCCTCACTGGCATCCGCCTCTGGGCCCTGCCAGGCCTTTTCCTGCTAAGCACTTCCCACTTCCCAGCATTAGTGCTGCCAGTGCTGCAGCTCAGGCTGCTCAGCCTCTAATCTGGGGAACAGCCTCCAGTTAATTATTCTGTGCCCTCTGGGCCATGGCCAGCGTGACTCAGCAAATGCCAGTCCGACTCAGCGAATACCAGCCCCAACGGCGTGAGGGGCCAAGCCCTCGCCTCAGCCCCCACCCAGCACCCACCCCCCCATGGGACCTGCCCTGGGGACAGCTCACAGGCTGCAGCAGGGACAGGGGGAGCAGGGCCCTGCTGTGCCCCTGGGGGCACTTGGCCTTGACCCAGGGCAGCCACACCTGAAAGAC